CCGCATGGCTTGACTGGGGCTGGGCCGGTGCCATCGCGGCCATACGCTTTCTAAGTTCGCCTCTGGCGAGGAGTGGAGAGGGGATCTGGTGAGGGGGCTTGACGTATGTGCTTCTTGGCTTTGTTCAAGTGTTCCCATTCGCACATAAGCAACCGTGCTGAATGATATCCTACAGCCGGCATGACCGCGCCCTCCCTCACACTAGATTGCCCCTCTGGGGCCTGGGGCCGAACAGCAACAGCACCAGCAACAGCAGCTGAGCCTGCAGCTGCTGGAGCACCAGCAGGAGAAGCAGCAACACGCGCTGAAACAGCAGCATTCTCAGTGAAATCCGTGCGGGGACGTCGAGGAGCCCGACGGACCAGGCTGCCCCTTCTCCTTCCTGTTTTTATATTATTTTTCTTAAGGAGCTGGTCACACGTTGCGGCGGAAACACCCCCAGAAAATCCTTCATCTGAAGATGACAGTGAAGAATCAAGTGGCGATCAGAACAACAATAACTCTACGGCACAACCAACACAACCGGGACAGCAGCCAGGTGGTGGCGTTCCTGTTCCTAGCGTGTTTCAGGTTGCTGCAGATGATATTCCCCCACAGTTACGTTTTCCTCATCCTATACGTTCATCAGCTTCATCAGCTTCCTCAATGGGTCACCGCAGCATCTCGCTTCCTGTACAACGTGATCACCGGCTATCCGGTGCAGGTGCAGGTCCCGTCCCAACAGGTGCTGTTGTGGTCTCGGAGATGTTAGAGCCGAATGCGTTTGGCCGTGTTGGTGCTTCTTTCGGCAAAGTATTGGTTCTTACAGATGTAGATGATACTCTATGGTGCTCGGGATCTATGGCTGCTTTTGGTAAACATATTGGTGGTATTGACAGTGAGTTTGCTCGTGGGCTCCCCTATCCTGCAATAGGTACTTTGCTCTTTATGCTTGCATTGGGGCCTCATACATGTACCCCCAACGGCTTGCGTATTCCTATAGAGCATTGCCCTGTACCCCTTCACTCTCCGCAGACGGAGAACTGCCCATACGACGTGCAGCAGTTCTCACCCCAGTATGTTTTGCCTCGACAAGCTGGCGTTCTTTCAGCGAGGGTTTCTACTTCTCTCTTTGCCCAGTTGACGCGCCCCCCTTCCTTTTTCAAGGATATAGATGCAATATTCACAAGCGGTGTGCGGCAGCTGTACGGTGCAAGCGCCCCGCGCTGGCCTTTGGGTTATCAGAACCAGATTAAGTTTGCCCAAGTTCTTGCTTCACAGCATTCACGAGGAGAGGCCAAGGTGCGGGGGTTTACAGAGGCATTGAGCAGTGGAGGGCCCGCAGTTGTATTGGGGGATACGGGGGAGAAAGACCCAGAAGCTGCAGCGGGAATGGCTCTCAAGTACCCTGAAGGTGTTGTAGCCGCGCTGTTGCACTCCGTATTCCTCGACAGACAAAAAGAAATAGATGCGGGGACGGGGAAAACAAGAAAAGATATGCCCAAACACATGATTCCCTTTGTTATGCGGTAAGCATATATATATATATATATATATATATATATATATATATATATATATATATATATATATATATATA